ACCTTCAACATGAATTTGAGTTTCATCTTAAATGTTGACTGACTCAAACCCAACTCAAAGCACGTCTGCATTTGCTGCTTAAAAAAAATAAAAGAATTATGTATTAGTTTATATGTTTGCTTATGTTGTGTTCTCTTCATCAAGTTTACGAAAGTTTATATGTAGTGCATTAACGTATTTTGTTATGGTATGTTGTTCTATCCAATGAACAAATAAGAAATTTTTTCTTTTTCTCTTTTCAACTTTCAACGTTATAATAAATGCGTTTAAAAAACTACAATATGCATTGAAGAAATAAACTAAAATATTTTTTCAAAATACATCAATACATGTGAGTTGATGAAATATAAAATAATAAAGCAACTTCCAACTGATGAAATATAATACAATGCTTATCCAAAATACATCGGTACATGTGAGTTGTTTGAGTATTCAAGCCGTCAATTGATACCACGTACCGTGTCCAATTGGAACTTTTATTTAGTCCGCAGGACGTAGCTCTACGTTCGGCCACCAGTAGAATTGCGTCACGCGTTCTCATTATTTATGGCGCACCCCGACAACCCGACCCGGAACGGACCTAGGATGGCTCGGTATTTCTCGATTTTGTTAGGTATTGGTCGATTTTGCTCGGCAGTAACTAATACCGAGCAATATCGAGCAAATACCGAGTAATACTGAGTTGTACCGAGTTTTTCGGTACAACTCGGTATTGCTCGGTATTGGTCTTCACAGAGCGGTATTTCTCGTTATTGCCAAGCAATACCTAGCAATACCTCGCAATACGCGAACGTAGCATTCCCGGGTTCCGGTCAGAGTCAAGTCGCCGGGCCGCGCGGTAAAGAGTAAGAGCACGTGGCGACATGTTATTGGCGGCCGAACAGAGCTCTACGTCCGGTCAGAGGACGTAATAATTATTCGTCCAATTGACCTCCACCCGCACCATCGACTTGTCTCAACTGTTTGTCAATGTGTTGCACATCTGTCGGCTGAACTCCACCGAACTACGCAAAATCCGGTCTATTATGTGCCACTCAACCCGCTTCAAACTAATCAGCAACACTAGGGAAATTTTACTTTTCTTTATTTTTTTATTTCTTAAGTCTGGCCATATAAGAGTGTATACAATTGGGTCATTATGCACACACACATAGGGGGAGTGATATGACTTTTAAAAGTTAAATTTTTTGTACTAACCGTATTGTACGGCTTACAATCGTATTGTACGATCAATATATAAAGAATGGGCTTAACGGCTAATTTAAAAAATTAATTTATGTGAACTATTTGTATTGTACGATCGTGATCATACTGTACGATTCGTTACGATCTGAAAATCCTTGCTGTCAGATTAATTTAATTAAGATTTTGAAATTTAATTTTTGAACTAATCGTACAGTACAAACATTTGAAATCTTACTAAAATTAACCCCCGTGATTAGTCAATCAAATCATGGTTTAATTAATAATAGTCAATCGTATTGTACGATATTGATTGTATCAAACGATTAATAGAGACGAGATTTGATCATCCCAAAGACTGCATCAAACGAAACCATGACTTCTGAATTAAACGCACCGTAGTATATTAATATCGTACTGAACGACCTTCTTGAAATCAACTAACCGTATTGTACGATGAGAGCAGTACAAGAGATTAGCAAAGACGATTTTTAGTCGTCCCAGTAATTGTCCTCTATAAATAGAGGAAATTAAACAGATCGTACTAAACAATCTCTAGTTCGTACTGCACGATATGTTCAAATTAATTGAATAGTTCATTTGAATAACTGCTTATTTCGTACCGAACAGGACTAGTGTTGAACTGATTATACTGTACAAATTAGAATCATACTACACAAACAATAACAACTAACTTGATTTTTTTAGGTTTTCGTGAAGCCCATTACTTAGGCATGTTTTAAATATTCTATTTATAATGAGGAGAGGATTGTGTGACTGCTGAAGGTACTCTGAAAGAAGTTTTTGAGAAATGTAGAGTTTGAGAGGAAGGAGAATGTGAGATTGAGCGTGAGGGAGAAGGAAAGTAAGAGGATCACATGCCGGACTATCTACACCCTTGCACCTTATATGACCTTGGCGAGTCTTAGGAAGTTCTCTAAGGATAGAGACTTCTAAGTCAAATTCTTGAGGTACTCTACATTCTCCAGGAGGGAGAAAAAGGAACTGAGGTACTCTGCATTCTCCAAAAAGGAGAAAAAAGAGCTGAGATTCTCTGCCTTTTCCATGAGGGAGAAAAATGAGTCAAGGTCATCTGCCATCACCAGGAGGGTGACATAGCATCCGGCACTCCACCTCATCAGGTTTGATAAAAGTGAATTTGTAAGGGCTTCTCTACCTTATTATGAGAGCAAAATGAGTCACTTTGTTTTAGTGCAAATTTTATTGGGGCTAAGAACTCTGAAGAGTAGACATAGGTCAAGATTGACCGAACCACTATAAAAATCTCTGATGTGTTTTTTTCTTTTTTGTATTTTTATATTTCCTGCCTTTTATTTTCATTATAACTACTTTAAAAAATTAAAGATTATTACTTTGTCTAGTAAATCAAAATATCATCATAATAAAGTTAATATTTTTGATAAACTCATTCGCTTTTGCAATCAATTAGAATTTGATGTTTTTAATTTCTGAAACTGTTTCAAAAAATAATGTCAATATTATTTTTAAGTTAAGAAAATCTTGAAATTACAAATTCGCCCCCTCTTGGTGAGCCTCCAGCTAGTTCCTTAAGGTTCAACAACCTTTCCGAACTTTCACCTACGACAACTGTTGAATGTATTTCCTCAACATCCACATCGACGACAACAATGTTGGTCTTAGCCTCCATCAGTATAAACTCACAAACCTCATCATTGATGACATGTGTGATAGTGTAGCCACCATTACCGAAGACGACATACAAGATTATCAGTGTGTGCTGATGAAGTAAGCCTTAATGCACACATAATTCATAGTTTTAATTGTGCCAATGGTATGATGTCTTATATTAGGAGTGAACAATTTCTCCCACCAACGAAATTAGGTGTGAATTCGATAGTAATTTGTAAGGCTCCGCCATAGTACAACATCAATCGTAACATACTACAAGAAAAAATAATGACAACATCAACTGGATCCTTCGTATTTAGATTTTAGCCAAGTTGATAATCATAATCCAATATCTTATGTCGCATAATGCAATATCTTACTAACAAATTAATAAAAAATCACAACTTCTTGAAGAAATTATCATATGTCGCATAATCCAATATCACAACCAATCTACGAATTCTAAAATTCCAAAAGTTGAAGAAATCTCCTAATTTAAACTTTCTCAAATTAACAATAACAAAAGTAACGCACGAAATTTTTTTTTTCTAACCTTCTTAACTCTCTGATTTCGAAACTTGTGCTCAAACTCTTCTTATCTCGGTGAGAAGCTCAACTTAGACGTGCTTCTTCTTTGATGCGAGGGAGGTGCATTTATAATCGAAACTATCAGTGCCCTTAACACGATTAACACTAAATTAATTGCTCTCACCAAATTAAAAAAATAAAAAAACTGTTCATTCTTCCACTGCAACAATAACTTCTCAATAATTCCCTCCATTTGTAAGCCACATCCTCAATCAACATGTGATTTGTCTACAGAAGAAAAGATATATGAATCCTATACTCATGTTTTTAACACAATAACAAAGATAGAAGGGTGGCTTTCTTCGTTTCTTCCTATGTTAAATAACTATAAGATAGAGCATTCATTCAACATTTTCCTATGTCAGGTTTGCACTAATCCTAGTTGTGCATCAATCATGAGATCAAGTCAAAACCAATCTCCAAAACTAAGGTCTCGTTTGGGACGTCTTAACTAGTGCCGTTTTCAAAAATACTTTTGATTGCTGTTTGGAAGCCTACTTTTTTAAAACTATGTTTTTTTTAAACACTCATTATCTTACAGATTTTGAAAGCTTTTATTTTTTGCTTCTCCGTTAGTAAAAGACCTTTTCGGAACAAATGTTTTTCATCAAAATTTTACGAAAGGAGTTCTGCTACCAACCGAGGCCTAATTCTGCTCTGGCAAGGGTAGATTGATCGAAGACTTCATGATTTTTTGCAATAGAAGAAAAGTGGCATCAACATGGTTTATTGGGAGACCAAAGCTGATTTGTCAGTCCGAATTTTCAAAATCAATGCCAAGCAGTCAATACAACACTTTTGTCAAGCACTATACTGAGGTTTTGGAATCAACTTATCTCCTAACATTCCTCTTTTCCTTTCCCACAATCGTTTCACACACCTCCATCTCAAACAAACCTGTTAAGCAGATCACTAGAAGTCTAAGCTGAAGCATCAACACCATTTGGTTATTCACAATTGATCCATCTCTTTTTTGCCTTCCTCTATTTTTTTCTCTCTTTCTTATTCATTTTCTCACTCCCATACTTCTATTCGAAAAAACTCCAAGAAACTAAACACAAATTTACAGTCACTTCAATAAGTTTGCCATCAAGGAGACCAAGTCCTAGCAGCAAGGTGGGCTTATTCTACACAAAGTACATCTCCTTGGAAAATCCAACCCGGTATTTATATAATAACTATAAAATGCAAGATCTTGTGGATCATGTGAATACCAATGTCCACAAGGATGAGCTCTTTCAATTAATAACCTAAGAGAAGATATTGACAGCGTAGAGGGAGGTTTTTCCTTAAAACCAAACAACAAAAGAAGATTAGCTGCCTAGCACATTAAGCCCTACTAAAAAGTGAAGTTAAATCCAGATAAATTTCAATCCAATTCCTTCATCATTACTGGCTCCATATTTTCTTGGTTCCCCTTTAGATACATCCAGTCTTAATGTGATAATACAAATTAAAAGCTGTAGAGAACAACACAAACTATTGATGCTAGCATGTAAAATGTGAAGTTTGTATCTTTATCAAATTTTAAAACTAGGGAGGGTAAATTGGGTCCAATAATTGTTTCCTCTATCGTCTTGCATAAAAATTGAGAAACTCATTTTGCCATTAGAATGCCAAATAAAAAGTCAGCCCAGAGAGACAAACTTCAACTGAGGAATAATTCAACATACTTTCAATAATGGCCTCGAGCTTTTCTATGCACACATTCCCATGTAACTCCAAAATTACACCTTCTCCAATTTAGATGAAACAAATACCTTGATTTTAGAGAAGAACAAAGCAAACCTGAAACACACTGCATATGCCCAACTTAACCAGATAGATAGGACCTCTTTCTCTTCCTACGAAAAGCATCCTCTTTGATAAAGAGACAAAACTTGGTATTGTAAAGAGCGAAGCCACCATCAGCTTAACCATTGGCATGCTTGAGAGAATCCCCCGCCCCCTGGAAGAAGCAATAAGAAAGGGCGAAATCAGCAATGAATATGCTAACAAGAGAAATCACCACAGCCGATGTAGTCGACTCCCCGACGCCCTTAGCTCCACCGAGTGTAGTAACTCCCCAGGCGCAGCTGACCACAGAGATTATCACACCAAACACCTGCGACTTAATCATGGCACTGATTAAATCCCACGGCCGCAGCGCACGGCGTGCAGACTCGAGAATAATGTCAATGCTAACGCCAAACACCGCATCAGCCAAGAGTGCACTAGACGCGAGGCCAATGGTGAAGCAGAAAAGTGTGAGGAAAGGAAGCGCGATAGCACAGGCAATGACGCGGGGTGTGACAAGATAATCGACGGGATGGGCGCCAAGGATACGGAGTGTGTCCGTCTGCTCGGAGACCTGCATGGTGCCGAGCTCGGCGGCGAAGGCGCTGCCAACGCGGCCGGCGACGACTACGGAGGTGACGACGGGGCTGAGTTCGCGTGCGAAGGCGAGGGCGAGGACGCCTCCGACCGAGCGCTGGAGGCCGAGACGAGTGAATTCGCGTACAAACTGGATGGTGAAAGCCATGCCGACGAAGGCGGAGGTGAGGAGGCAGACGCCGAGGGAACGCGGGCCAACGCGATCGAGTTGTTGGAGGGTGTTGCGGCGGTGGACGCGGAAGGTGAGGGCGCGGTGGATGACTTGGCCGGCGAGAATAAGCGCCGAGATGCCACGCCATAGGGTACGAGGAGGGGTCCAGTTGGCGAGGAGGGGCGGCGGCGATGGAGCTGGAGAAGTCTCCGGCGCATTGTTTGTGATCTGTTCAGGGAGGGAGTGAGGAACGGAGAAAGGAGGGGTTTGGGATCGGAAGTGGCGGCAGTGATGAAGGAAAGGAATCCGCGTCGCGAGACTCAGGGGATTCCTCTTGGGTTGAGCGATGCAGAACCTGAGAAGAAAGATTAGGGTTATGTGAGATGGGGGAGAGAGAAGGATGTTCTGCGGAAATTTAGTACCGTGGAGAAAAGGAGAAGGAAGCGAGAGATCGGGAGAGCGTGGAGGCTTCCATGGATGAAGAGGATCGGTGCAATCCAGCCGCTATCTCCTTGAAATTGCCACGAAGTGGCTCTGCTTTTCGGCCATGGCCGCCGAAATTGTTTGCTCGAGGATTCGAATGGAAGGATGACAACAGAACAAATATTGGGCCTTGCAGTCCACCTTGAGATGTTAAATTGATAGCGTTAGCCTACAAATAAAATATAAAGTTTTTGAAATATATAAAATTATTTGTTTGAGTATAAAATAAATAAAAAAGAGATTAATTACTTATATTTGATTTGAAATAGAATGAAATTAGTGTTTTTGGTAATGGTTGCTAGTGGCAACCATATTACTGTCCAATTAGTTTTGACGGTAGAGCAAAAAAATGGTGATAGTGACGGATGATGATAAGCAAATCATGATAGGAGGGTGACTAGTGGTCTTGATTGAAGGAGAAATTATTACGTGCGGTCATCGAATGTCATTAGGAGGCCATCAAATGAAATATGAATCTCGACTCAATCTTATATTTAGAAATTTTTAGAATGCATTTGCAATCCAATTTTAACAAATTATAGTCAATATAAATGTCTGAATGAAACAAACTCAATATCACAAAAAAATGGTCACATTTTATTCCAAATTGAGCCCTTTTAAAGCATAGTTGTAAATTTCGTAATATTAATTGAAAAACCTATTGATCTTCAAATTTTGTGTGTTTATCAGATAATTCCAATATTATTAATACATTTAAATACTAAAAGAAAATCTATGATCCTCAAAATCAACATGGGCCAATGAACTATTTTTAAATTTTTTAATACAATTATCAAAATTGTACTAAATAACAATTATAAACAAACTCTCATTCTCCATAAAAAAAAAGCGTGAAAGATAACTTGGAATCGAAGAAACCTTAAGATCGAAAGAACTTTAGAACTCTACCTGATATTCAATATCAATGACCACCTTCATCTTCTTCTTATCGTCGTCATACAATCTTTATAGTTCAACCGTCATCCCATGACGACAATCATTACCTTCTACTTTTTTTTAGCAATCTCCACTACATACCCAAAAAACAAAATTATATTTCCTATTTTATTGTCCCATCATCTCCGATTGAATAGAAGAATGGACTGTTATAACTTTAATTATGATAATAGATCAACTTAATAGATCTAAACATTATGGTTTTTTCAAAATTTTTACGTAAAATTTATTTGCCTTTTAACACATAAACTCTCTCTCTCTCTCTCAATAAATATTCTAACCCAACAAATATATCACGTGCGATAGTACTCAGAATACTCAACAATATATTTATTCGTAGCTCGACAAAATAGCTTTATAAGTGAAAGATTAGGCCCTAAGCCATGGGTGGATCCGCCCATGCTCGTTTGATTCGATTTTTTTTTCCTTTTCAGTTTCTAAACAACATAATTATTTTTTTGTTGCTATTTGTATGCGACACTTCTCTAAAAAGACTTTTACGGAACTTCATTTTTTTTACTGTTTTAAAAACCTTTTGATATTAATTTCTCCGTTACAAAACTCCATTTCCTCAACCAACATCTCTAAAATCACCTAGGAGATAACTAAAAGAAGCCTTAAGGCTTAGTTTGGGAAAGCTTTTTTATGCTTTCTAAAACAACTTTCTTGTACAAAATTTTTTGTACTAAAAAGATGATTTAAAAAGCAAAAAAAAAAAAAAACTATTGGACAGCTTTCTTTTAACTTCCTGAAGCAGCTTTCTAGTACACAAATTTTTAGTTGAAAAAATTATATTAAAAAGCTATTTTAAAAAGTAGTAAGAAAGCTATCACAAATGAAGCATGGGATGACTTTCTTATTGTTTTTTTAAAAAAAACTTTTTAGTACAAAAATTTTTATTTTATACTAAAAAATTATTTTAAGAAGCAATAAAAAAATTGTCTCAATGCTTTGTTTGAAATAACTTCCTTATTATTTTCTAAAATAAATTTTTAATACAAAAATTTTTTTAACTAAAAACTTTTGTGCTAAAAAACTGCTTTATAAAACAATAAAAAAAATTGTCTCATACAAAACCCAAGACTTTGTATGAAATATTTTTTTGCTAATTTTTAAAATATTTTTTTAATACAAAAAATTATCGAACTAATTTTTTTTTGTTAAAAAATTAATTTAAAAAATAGTTAAAAAGAAAACTTAAGTGCTTATTTAATAGATAAATAAAAAGTTATCTAGTAATTCACTCCATCTTTTTCACCCAAAATGATTTCCATGCAAATACATTATTGAAGAATATCAATAAAAATTCTATATAGAAAAAAACGTTACTACTTCATGCTGAACAAAATATTTCGTTATTTCTTTATTTAAAGATACATATCTGAAACTTACTGCGCAAAGGGTTAAGCAAACTTCACAACGTTACAAAGAACTTCAGGACATTATAGCTATCCTTGGGTTGGACGAATTATCCGAAGAAGATCGTTTAACTGTAGCAAGAGCACGCAAGATTGAGCGTTTCTTATCACAACCCTTCTTTGTGGCAGATTTTTATTTGGTTCGGTTGACCGGATGCTTCTCTGCATCCGGTCGGAGGACGTAATAATTGTTCTTATGAGTTTTTATTTGGTTCGGTCGACCGAATGAGAGAAACATTCGGTGGAAGGCAAAAATCGCGCGGTACCGAGGTGTACCGAGTTTTTCAAAAAACTCAATATTAGAAATGACCTTTCTTTATTAGGTTTAAATGAGAATTTGACTTTTAATAGAACACAATGGAGAAAAAGGATTCATGTAGCCGACCCCACGTAGTGGGATAAAGGCTTGATGTTGTTGTTGTTGTTGTTGCATACTTGGGCTTTGTTCATGACAACTTTGTCAATGGTTTACTTTTAGATCATATTCATAATTTTTATTTGATCCCTCCTTTTTCAATATTTTAAATAATTTTTTTTCTACAACAGCTTTAAAAAAAGCCATTTTTTCTACAACAATTAAAAAAAAAACTAATTCCTCTACAACAATTTTACAATCCTCTTTATAAAAAAGAGAATGAGATTTTTACATACATAACACTTAAAATTATTGTTATTACATATCTAACACCTAAACTACCATATTTACTTATATACCACATAAACAACATTCCTAATATCTGAAATATGACTCCGGATTATTAGAATAGATGAAAAATGAGGGTTTTAGATGGTATATAAGTAAATATGATAGTTTAGGCGTTAGATATATAATAACAATGATTTTAAGTGTTAGATATAAAATAACAATGATTTTAGGTGTTATGTATGTAAAAATTCCTATAAAAAATTATAACCATTCCAACCGGACCTTAATTTAAGTTCAATTGAAGTAATTATCAAATCAAGATCATGAAATAAGCACTCAAATGATTCTATTCAAATAGACAATAATGGGCTTCTTTCTACAAATACTTTATTGTAATAAAATACTCTTAATAAAATGAAGAAGCAGACAAGATAATTTTCTCAACTGAAATGCAAAACAGAAATTTACACAATCACAAATGCCCTCTAAATTTCAGAAGAATTTGTGGAGGAAAAAAAATTAAAAAGATTACAAGTTGTTGGGATCTTCATACCGCGCATTAAAATTCAGCAGAACCAGGCGTCCGAGGAAATGGAATCACATCCCTTATGTTCTCCATCCCAGTGGCAAACTGTACCAGTCGTTCGAACCCTAATCCAAAGCCTGCATGAGGAACTGAAGAGGGCAAGAACATGAGATTTAAATTCAAAGGCATTCAGTGAAGCTTCTCAAGTATAATGGAATTCTCATTTCTAATAAGTCGCCATTGCAAGGAATCATATTTGATATGGGAATTTTTTTAAAAGAGTTATTATGAGTATTATACTTTATTTTTCTTTTGAATAAGGATTTGTTTTGGGTTGCTGCAGCTTTTTGTAACATTAGTTATAGAGAAGCTGCGGCGAAAAATAACTTTTTTTTTAATTTATTGTGAGTATTATAAATAATAAAAACACACTAGCATATCAGGTTGTTATAAGTAACTTCCCATCATATAAATATTTGAAAATTAACAAGAACATAAAAGCCAAATAGAGGTATGATATTAGTCTGAAAAACAAAATGGTGAAAAAGCTAACCCAAACAAATACTAAGATTTCGCTTGGGACAGCTTTTTAAAATGACTTTTTAGTACAAATTTTTTTTGAACTAGAAATTTTTTAGTTCAAGAAATTTTTGCACTAGAAAATTGTTTCAAAAAACAGTAAGAATGTTATCCCAAACGAAGCCTAAGTCGGACGTCAACTTTCTTCCAGCTAACACATTAGCCGATCTCGTTGTAAAATACTGTTTTTCACCACAAAAATTTCTAAAAATGTGACCCAATAATAATAATAATAATAATAATAAAGCCAGATAACACTAACAGCTTTCTAAAAAACAAGATCATGAAAAAACCACTCTAAATGAACCCTAAAAGCATCAAATAAGCATCTGGAATAGGTGCTAAGAATTTCCCAAGTTAAAATGATCATAGTAATCACCCTAAAAAAAAAAAAAGGATGCCATAATGAATAGATCTTGAGCACTAATGTTTCAAGTTCAACTGCATTTGTCATGATAAATGGTTAAATTGTTCAATATCTATAGAAACCTACACATGAAAACATGGTTAATGGATACCCAAATGTACAGAATTCTGCATCGCCCATCAACCAAAGTGAGCTGTTTATTGATGTCTTATTGTCTTATTGCTGTGACCAGACAATGTTACGGTTCTCTAATAGAAGCAGTATCTTGTAGGTTTGTTTGCGGCATATCTTGATATGATGAAGCAACTCAACTCCAAAAGTAAAACACCAAAACTTCCCTAAAGGATCATATGGTTTGATGTAAATAGAAAACATGCTTTAGAAAATCTAAGATTTCCTTTTCACTAATTTTAAATATGAAAATGATATTATTATTTACAAAAAAATCCCAAAATAAACTCCAAATTATTCGTGTATGACCAATTTAGTCTTAGAATATTAAGTTGCCCTAATTTAGTCCCTTGACTGTACAAAATTGATCCAAAATAATCCCTCATGTTTTAATTGTGATATAAAATTGATCCGTTTAGTCCCAAATGTATAATTTTGGATCAATTTTGTATAGTCGAGAGACTAAATTAAAACAACGTTATACTCTGAAAATAAAATGATCATATATGAATAGTGGGGGGCTATTTGGAAATTTAGTCATTATTTTTAATGCATTTTGGGAAATTTTGTAGAGTTTAAAGCCAATGTATGTATCTAACTACATCCAACCAATGATAGATATCCTACATCTTTTATTGAAACGTGATTTATAAAGTCATGCAATGAAATGAGGCCTACACCAGAAATAGAAAATGAAGTATTCAAGCATGTTTCATCACAGCACTTCCAAGCTAAAATCAAACGATATTAGATATATTGGCGTTGCTTCCAGCTTCATTGCATGGGCCTACAAGGTCAGCCAAATTCTTGAAAAGCTTAACAAATAGATGACAAATGAAAAGATAAATTAAGGTGCAGGAAATGCTATCAGAATTAGATTATTAAATGCTGAAAACAGTCGAACTGAATGGGATAATGATTCAAAATTGAAATGGGACTACGGCAGCAACCATTAATTAATACTATAAGGATCTCTCAATACCGTTTGACTTTTGATCCATACATAAGATAGCCTTATTTGAATATTGCAAAAGATGTGCTTTATGTTTCGAAAGGAAAAACTCATAATAGTAAAAATAGTTGATGGTGGAATCCAAATGTGCAAGAAAAGATAAAAAATAAGAAGAATTGTTGTAAAAATTGGTTTAGATGTAAATATTCTGATCGTTGGGAAAGCTATAAAGAGGCTCATAAGAAATATAAGAAAGCTATTTGCAATGCAAAAAGCTTAGCTCTTAATGATTTATATAATAAATTAGATACAAAGGAGGGTGAATGATGTATGTATAAGTTAGCCAAACAAAGAGATAAGAGTAGTAAGGATTTAGTTCAAGTGAAGTGTATGAGCAAAAAATACTTTTCTTAGAAGATGATATTCAACAAAGGTGGATGAGATATTTTGCTAAACTTTTTAATTAGATTGTTAAAATAAGATTGACTATAGTGACCTTAGCACCCTAGATGAAAATAAAGATTTATATTTTTATCGGCGTATTAGTAAAACTGAAGTTAGAGAGACTTTAAAGAAAATGAAGGGTGGAAAAGCTGTTGGACCTGATGATATTCCAATAGAGGTGTGGAAATGATTAGGAGATGAAGGAATTTCACGGCTTACTATGGAAGTCATACATTTATTAAGAGATTTGATGGAGAAATATCGAGAAAATAAGGAGGATCTACATATGATATTTATTGATTTAGAAAAAGCATATGATA